GGGAACCACTGCTTTAAGTCAGTGAATGGCCATCAAGGAAAACAACGTGAATTAGGTCTTACATTCTCATTTTGAATCTGCTATTTCCTGGTTGCAAATTACTTAACTTTGTTGGGTAGATTTTAATCTCTGAGATCCCACTTTCTCACTTACAGTGTGAATAGTAAGGCTGCTTCATTCATTGAAGATGAAGTCGCCTTTCATCTGGTTTTGATACTTCCCCTTGGTGTCGTAGCGACAGGCATGGTGGCTCTATCAGCCCCTAGAAAGGAGGCGGCCAGGGCACTGGGGGTGTTATCTCCTGCACATGCGGATAAAGCATTCCTGTGGAAAGCCTCTTCCCTGAACCTTTACGCGCATTTTCAAGGATATGTAAACTTGAAATTTTACAATCAGAGAAGCAGTAAAACCAATTCAGAACGTTGACTTAGGCATGAGGAGACAGATGGTAATCCTATAAAAAGATGGCATATATTTTTGGAAGTGCAAACAGAAAAACAGATACTCTTAAAAATTCCAGAGTAATCTTTGCCTAGAAAATGAAGGGAAGAGATAAAAGACCATATGGCTCAATAGAACTTTTTATAGTTTCTAATGTCTAGAATTGACTTTTGTTTATTTAATGTTAGTATTAAGCTGCATATGGACTGGTAGTTGAAAAGGGAATAATGACCAAGAAACAATTGCCAAGTACTTCTGCTGTGGTTACCGGGCTCTTTTATTTGCTGTGAAGTGGATACAGTGGTGGGAAGCAAAACCACTTGTACCCCATATTTATTGAGGTTTATTTAAAAGTGGGTACCTCGGAGTCAGGTGCTGAATCAGCGTCCCTGGGGAGCGTCCCAGGAGCCGTGCTGGCCTGCCTCAGGTGTGTAGTGGCACTGCCTTTGAGTTCCCCGAGCAGGTACAAAGTGGGTGCGGAGAGAAATGTCGAGGAAACCTGAGTTAGTAGTCTGTGCTCTCCTGTATGTTGTAATCTGTGGGGTGGTAGGTGTTAATTAGATTTTACAGGCAAATCTAAGTGTGTTTCCCAGCTGGGAATCTGGGCTGGAGAGGCTTGCTGTGTTCTGAGGTTATGTAATGGGGAGGGGTCCCCGTCAGGAAGAGCAGGGTGTGGCTCCCTGGGGAACCCAGGTGGCTTGATGTGGAAAGGAAGTAGTCAAAGAGAATAATGCCAATCAAAGGAGCAGTCTGTTAGAAAGTTCCGTGTTGAGGAAGAGTGTGAAGGGGCAGATGAGAGCAGGGAAGGAAGGGTCAGATGGGGTAGGGCGTTAGGCGCTAGGTCTGTACCTAAATGGTGCTCAGCTGTTAAATGGTGCTAAGCTGTGATTTGCAGTGGGGAGTGACGGGTGAGGTGAGCAGGTGCCTGATCGCTGTGCTTGACCAGTTATACATGATCGTTGTCTCAAGAAAGTACTGCAAGTCTGTATGTCTCCATAGCTGCCTTATTCGTGCGCGCGCGCACACACACACATGCATGTTTGCACATTTGTCATGGGAGGGCTATTATAGCTATAACTGGAAGAACGCAGAAGGGTCTAGAACTGTTGTGGGTGTCATGTTTCAATCAATGACTTCTAATTGGAGTCGAATGTTATTTAGCGTTACAAGAGTTACATAATGAACCCAGGGCACTATGGAGAATTAACTTGGAAATGGACATTATACGTGAATAACATTTTCATATGCAGTTGTGTCATATTGAGTCTCTCTGATGCTTACGTGTTAACTTGAACTCAACAAAAATGGAGGCAGTCTGGTCTATTCAGGAAGCTTGGGTAATGCTTTCTGAGCACAAACAGCTCCAAGTGATTGACTTAGCATCTTACATTTTATTAAGACATATGTATCTGGCATTTAGATAAGACAATTTGTTGTTGTTGTTTGTCATTAGTTAATTCCTGGTGGTGTATTGTGTGTGTGATGCTCAGCGCTACCACCGCATGGACCCCTCAACAGCCTGAATTCCATTTCCAACCAGGGAGGCGCAGCAGACCTCTCCTGTCTGCCCGCTGCCCCCTCAGCAGCGTACCTCGGTGGATCTGCCTGTTCTGCTCCCTGCTCTGTCTCTGGTGCATCCTCTTATCCCCTGCACCTCCTGCTTGCACCCCGTTCTTCTATGCAAATATAAATAAATAAAATCTTTAAAAAGCAGAAAACTGGCATGTGCATGTATAAACTGGACCATCATGGTATTTGCCCTTTTCTTTCTTCTCAGCACTGACAACCCGAGCAGCCTAATGGTGCCCCAGTCCTCCTCAGCCTAGATCGTGGCCCACTGGGCTTGTCAGAATTGACAATTGCCTTTGTGTATGCGCAGTGTAGAAAGTTGCTCTCCAGTGCACCTTTCCTTTGCATGACTGGCTCTCTGATCATGCCAGCCTTGGTCTGACAGGCTCCCCGGAGAGGCGTTTGAGACGGTCTTGGGGCTCACGGCATGCAAAGCAGGAAGCCCAGCATTCCGGGGCTTGCCTTGCCTTCGTGGGTGTCTGTCCCCGGTGCTGGTGAGGTGGCCTGGCTTCTGTGCTAAATGCCTGCGCTGTCGCACAGCCTCTTCCTGGAGGTGCCTGGCCTGGGCGGCCTGGTGCCTCTCCGCCGCCCGGTGTCCTCTGAAGGCTGACCTCTGTCTGGCAGGGTCCACTGCGGGTCTGGTGAGTGCTGGGTGAAGAGTCCAGGTATGGTCGAGGAGTTTGAAGACCCACTCGTGGGTTCCACCCACACCCTAACGTGTACCAGGTCAGCACTTACCGTGCGCTCTCCCGCGTCTGTGTCCGGTCTGGCTGGCTTCACAGCGTCCAGACATGGGTCATGTTCAAAGCCTGCTGCTCTGTCTGGCCTCTTTTTTTTGCCCTGCCCAGAGCCCTCAGATTTCATCTCTTAGCTTTGTCTGAAACATGAATTCCTCTCGGGTCCTGTAGAGTATTTTACGAATGGAAGGAAACAGATGGTGAAGGCTTTCTACGGAATGGCCTTGAAGTGCATAGGACAGCCTTCAACCCTTGCTGTCCTAGTGGGGTGCTTACTAAGTACCCAGTGGGGGTCTTACATGTGGTTCCTGTGACAGTTAGTCCGTGTGTAAAGCATGCCATCGCCAACCCTGCCGTCACCTCTTTCTGGAATCACATTTTTATTTCTAAGTGTGCTTAGGTAACTGCATAGCGTGAAGCGAAGTATTTGAGGGGCAATTCATAGATTTACTCTTCCTCATTGCTAGCTCTTTGGTAGAATTGCACCTTTGCGCGCTCACTCCATGCCATGTCACATGTGCAGGTGTTTTCCAGGTGGTCTTGTTAGAATTGCTAATCCTTGATCACTTGCGATGATGACTTTAGGTTTTGCAGGAAATAGAAGCTTCATTTCCACGAGAGTAGATTTAGCCAGATTTGCAGTCTACACACTAAAGAATTTCCTTCCCTTCTATTACTTGACAGTCAGGAAATACTTAATACCAGAATTGAAGCCGTATATAGTAGAACCAGTAGTTCTGGTTGGGGATATACAGATGAGTAAGAAAAGGTCTCTACAGTGGTTCATTCTGGCTGGGAAGCTATCGCAGTGAGCTAAGAATAAAGAAACAAGGAATTCTAAGTCACAGTGTGACATGCACTGAAAGGTGTAGTATTTGGGGCCAGGAAGGGGGGGCGAGAACTCGCTGCTGGCCGGAGCAGACTTCACGAGCACGAATAGCTTCTCTGAAGAATTCCCTGACAGATGGTGGGAAAGAGGAAGCACTTGCCCAGCCAGGCCCGGAGTGCGGAATGTCTTTGTCTCTCACCTGGAAGGTGGACGGCCTGGACCCTCGAGGTCCGCTGGGTCTGAGAGGCCCCGTGTGGCCTGCGCGCCGGCGGGTCCCCGGGCGTCCTTCACAGCGCTCCTTTCCCCGGGCCAGCTGTGTTGCTTTCTTTCCCTTGGATTCACATCCTTTCTTTTGGGGCACTGGCAATTAAGTTTTTTTTTTTTTTTTTTTCATTTCTGTACGACTTGATGCCTGTATTTCGGTGGGCAGAATTGGACTCATTCGCAGATGAGCCAGGAAATTATCGCTTAGATCAAGGCTTTATTACTCCTTAGCTCGTCATTTTCAGCCTGTTAAGACAAACAAGTATAGTTTCCGTGATTATGAAGAATCGTACTTACAAATTCTCGCTAATAGTGAAATGAACGGACAAGGCCGGCTGATCGGAGCCGCAGCAAGTGCGGAGGGCGTGAGACCTGGTGAGTCAGGCTGCCGGCTGCCGGACTGGCTGCAGACCAGCCGAGCTTGTTGGGGCCGGGCACAGCTGCTGGGCCCAGCAGCGGGCTCCTGCGACACAGACACGTTCTGCTCATTTTTTAATTTTAAAATTTCAACATAATTTTATACATTCCCGGGTGAACAGATTATTTTACTTATATTTCATATCTTCTTTCTAAGGCCAGGTTAGTAATTCATCTCTCTTTTTTAAAGATCCATTTATGTACACAAGAACTGGGGTGCAGGCCAGAGGTGTGGGCGGTGAGAGGACTCACCAGAGA